TTTTTTTTTTTTTGTACCAGGGATTGAACTTGGGTCCTTGCACTTACAAGGCAGGCCACCGAACCGCTGAGCTAAATTCCCAGCCCTGCCCTTCTTCTATGTACTGCACTCTGAATATCAATCTCTCACCTAAACAATTCAATTATTATTATTTTTTTTGTTGGTCATGCCCCATTCATGTGATTTTGTAACTCGTCTGAAAAGACACTGACTTAATCCCATTCCTTCATTTTGTTGAGGAGGAACTAAGATCCAGGAAGATTTAAGGGCCCTTTGAAGATCTCTCAGCCAGTGAGTCAGAATTACAATCCTCTTTCCCATGATCTGTGTTCTGCCTACTGTTCTACCCTGAGCAGCCCTTGCTAAAAAAGCAACTGACCCAGCACAATTTCCTTTGAAAAAGAAGGTGGAATGAGGAAGTAGATGACAAGGATACACCTGTGGAGGCAAGGAAGAATTTCTCATCCTGTCCTGATGCTTCTCCAAGCAGTTCTAAGGCAAATATGCACAGGTGTATGTGGTTTATCCCAAACTAATGCATACCAAGTCTCTTGTGCTACAGACACACATTTGGAGCAGGTGAACCATGGATCGAACATGTGAGCTTTCTAATTTTAGAATGACTGAAGTTCCGCAAGAGAAAGCTCTAGGCAATAAAATGGAGAAGGGGTTTGCAGTTCTGCAAAGCTTTTGTTAAGATGAGGTGAGCAATGAGCAGATCTCCTGCTTTCTGGCTGATCCATGTTCTATATGTTTCAAAGCAAGTAAAATCCTCAAAGACTTTCCTATAATCTGATCTGCCCTGCCTGTGTTTCCTAGCACAAATTTACCATCTCACCCATCTCTAAGCCCAGAGTTCCCACTGAGATCTGCCTACAATCTCCCCAAACAAGCTAGTGATGGTAACAGTCTTCATGAATGACCCAACTAAATTTTCCAAGCTCTTTCATTACTCTGAAAAGTTTCTGGATACTAAATTAAGCAAGCCCTCAAAACCCTGATTTCCAGGCAGACATCATTAGACACGGAAAGCGGAAGGTGCAGAAGTTCAAGGGTCTAAGGAGCTTCCCCGAGTCTGAAGATCATGCTGGACAGATAATGGAGGAAGGCCTAAATCCTGGCTCCCAGGCACCTGACCAAGGCCCTCACCGCACCCCTTTGGTCATTAGAGTGAGTCTCATGAAAATATGCGAACCAGATGGGCAGCCTGGGAACTGTGCAACATTTCTGAGGATTAAGCAAGCAGCCACCCAACAACTTAGCCAGGGTGCATTCTGTCCCTTGTAAGGGGCATTAAAAAGGTGCCTTTTTAAGAGAGGTCATAACTCCTTCCTTGGGAGGGTGTGACAGATGTTCTAGGCTGTGGATGCTGCCACCTCCCCTCTGCCTCCAGCTAATGTTTCTCTCTGTGCTTCACAGATTGACAACCAAGCAGATAAAAAATGTTCTGTCCCAAGCTCCAGACTACTGATTTCCCTCCTATAGCAATTATTTTCTAAATCACGTACTAAGTAGTTAGTCAAGATTGCCCATGTCATGATGACACTCATGGCTTCTCATGCTGTCTGGGCATCTGTGAGATGGGCTCCTGGAGGACAAGGAAGAGAAGGCCTGCTTCTCTGTATGATTCTAGCGCCTAAAGTGTTAGACTCTAAATACAAAATAGCATGTAGTTCTAAGAGAATACAATACAGTCATTACTTGGTAGCCTTGTGGGACTGGTTCTAGGATCCTGCCCCTTCTATATCCAGCCTCAACAAAACACGACACAGAGAAGAGAGATGTTTTCTTCTGGGTCATCATGGATCACCAAGTGACTTGGGCACCTTTAGGGTTCAAATGCATCATGGATGAAAAGTCAAGGGAGGACCTTGGGGCTACAGCAGTAGGCGTGCCCGACTGCAGTGGCAGCATCACCTCTGCTGACTTCGGAGGGAAAGATAGAGAAGAGTGAAGAGTAAAGTACCAGGGAAACTGTGTGGTTGGTGAGAGAATTCATGAACATATGGAAACCTGCCCTTTTCTGCAGGGACTTCCCTGAAGTTACTCGGGAGAAACAGCAGCAGCAGATGGGATCAGAAGCCAGTGAAACACACTTCATATCATATCAACAAGGGAGTAGTGAGTGGCCTACTCACACATGGCTAAGATAAACCAACACAGTCTCTCCAGAAAGCTATTGCACAATGTGTACAAGGATCATAAATGCATTATTCCTGCTTTTGGAGATATATCCTGAGAAAGAATCCAAAATAAGGAAAACCTTCTAGGCAGGAAGATGTGGCATCATAAATTAAGAAACTGGAGGCGTCATAAATATCCCCTGGGGAATGCTTATTTAAATCCCATACGCCCATTTTAACAGAACACTTTGACGGTTTAAAAGGATTGATTTCAGGACTTTCCAGAGACATGGAAAAATACACAAACTCAACTTTTTTTTTTATAGTACCGTACCTCGAACTCAGGTCCTTGCGCTTTCGAGGTAGGCAGCAGAACAACTGAGCTAAATCCCTGGCCTGCACAACCTCAACTTTAAAAGAGTTTCTTCACCAGGACTAATCATATTAAAACATTAATGCACATGAATTTAGGCAACAAACTAAGTGCAAATGTAACAGTGATCACTTCCCTGCAGTGCTATGGTGCTGAGGGGTTTGCTTTCTATACTTCTGGACCTCTCCAAATTGTTGATCTAGAATTTTTTTTAAATAAAAAAGGAAACTATTATCACAAATATCCAAACATGAACCAGAACATCACTAAGCAGAGATCATCAGGCAGAACCAGAGAAGGGGATTCAGGAATCTGATCATTCTGTGAGCAGGAAAAGTGTGGATGGTTTCAAGCTCTCAGGTCCTGCAAGCCCTGTTTTGCAGCACACCTGTCCATGCTAGTTAGCAGTGAGCACAGCTGCTCTCAGGCCTACAGTTAAGACCTCTCCATGAGCACCCATCTGCCTGTGAAGAGAGAATGGAGAGGAGAGGGCTCTCTCTCAGGCACAGGCAGGTGCATGTGGGCAGGAGGCCATGGAGGGAGCTCTTCAGGAGAGAGCTCAGGCCTCACAGCAGCCAAGATCTTTGCACCACTCCCCATTCACATCCCCAGGGAAGGCTGTACTCACCGCTCAGGGGGGACGTGCTGTTTTCCAGGGCTTGGCACACAGCCAACACAATACCTGTCAGGCGAAGCAGAGAGAAAAGATAAGCATCTACTCAGCAAATGGCATCCTCAGAAGACTGGAGGGCAGGCTCTCTGAAGGGCAAAGACTTGGTAGTTTTACAAAGTGGCCAAAAGCTAGGCCTGGCTACTTCACTTGTGGGGCTCAAAGCAAAATAAAAACAGGACTCCTTTGAAGAAAAAAATGCTCACAGAAAGCACTAAAATCTCAGTGTTTTCCTTCCTGTCAGTCTCTCTCTCTCTCTCCACCTGTCATGGTGCTTTATAGTTTTAAAAATCTATTTTTATAGTGGGGACACATGCATAGCATATTTACCATTTTAACCACTTTTTAGTGTACACTGTAGTGACATTAAGTTCATTCACACTGGGATGCATGTCATGGTGATTTTGTGTGCCCAGCATGTCACTGCTCTACTTGTAAGACAGCAAGGTGAATGCAGCCCCTCATGGGTACACAGGGCCCGAATGACAAAGTCAGCAAGGCACCCACTGGCTGCTGGGCTTTCCCTCCAGCAGCAGCTGGTCTGATGTGCCATGACCCGGCTGTCTCTTCTTTCCAGGCACTGGATTCCCCTAGCCAAGGTGGATGGGTAACGTCCAAGGGGACAGCACTTTCCATGCCAGGATGTAGTAGGTACCTGGGTCAGGGGAAGTGGGGCGGCCTTCCCTGCTCTAATTGCCCACTGACATGCTGCGGAGCTGCCTAGCTGTCAACCATGTTCTAACCTGAGATGGCATAGGGTAGATGTACCTAATCCCTAATTTTTTTGGGGGGATACTGGGGATTGAACTCGGGTCCTTGAGCTTGTGAGGCAGGCACCAGAACCACTGAGCTAAATCCCTGGCCCAATCCCAACATTTTTAGTTCTACCAGAGGCAGAGAATGGCAGGGACATGACCCACCAAGAAGACAGGAGCTTTGGTAGGCAGCACCCGGGGAACCAAGGCCTCCAGTGTACATTCATTATCTTACTGGACTTACAAGACACAGATCCTAAGATAAAACCATAAGAATTTCAAGACTGTAACCACAGAGCATTAAATCTCATATTCAGGGCCATTATAAGTGTGGCCTCTGGGCCTCTGTGTGACCCACAAAACCACTCTGGCCAACAGATGACCTTGTGTGCCCTCGTGGTGTAGTACCAGAAGTTTTTGGAAACAGAACAGCAAAATTCCAATGAAGAAGGAAACTTTCTTGATTTCTGTAATCAGCACAAATTAACTTCTCAAAAGTGAAATGCAGGGAAATGGCCCAGTGGCCAGGCAGAGGGGCTGGGCCTCAGGCAGGTTAGCCTCAAAGGCAGATACATCAAGTCAGCACAGAAAACAGAAGTTCTGTCTGCTACTTCTCATTGTACAGGACTCATGAAATGCTTGCCAGGCAGGCTAGAGGTTTTTTTGCCCCTTTTCACTTAGGGTGGGAGGCAAACACATTTAGAACAGATAAAGCAATCACACTCACAACTTTGCTTCTGGCCTTTAATATGAGAAACATCGCAAGAACCTCTGACTCCTCTAACTGCAGCCCAGCATGAATTCCCTTCAGAGTTCTGCACAAGATACTTGGGCTGCAGTTGGGGTCAGGGCAAGGAGATTGGGAGATGTATATACAATCACATATATCTTCTCTGTGCCATTTAGGGCCCCATTGATGCTAATTTTGGAAGCACGACTCTTAAGGTTGCCTGGGCCTATTTCAAAGGGAGAGTCTGTAATGCACACACCAAATATTCCAGTGAGACATTCCTGATGCAGCCAGAAAAAGTCGTAGTGGTCACAGTCAAAGTTGGGGAATAGTCATGTTCTGATTCTGCTGGCACTGCCACAAACCACTCTAGGCTCAAGTCAACCAGTGACCTGCAATCATGTCAATGGATGATATATGGGAGATGCTTTGTATACCTTTAAGCGGGGAGCATGACTGGCCTGTTATGAATGAGCCTGAACTAATGAATGATCTTCACATCTCCTTCCTTCCCCACACCCCATCAGTCAAGTAAACACATCACAATTTCTGGGCCCCACATGGCTCTGGAGCACAGACAACACCAACTGCCCAGGAAGTCAAAGGCATGAGCTGAGACCCTTCCCTCAACCTTGGGCAAATTGCTTTATCCCTTCTGTTCCTTGCCTGTAAGATACAAACTGCCAAGCTCACAAAGGTGTTTCAGGAAGTAAAAGTTTGCAAAATCACCATTCCACAGATGAAAGATGCTGCATTTTTATCCATAAATGAGTAGTGTAAAAGCATAAGTCCTTTCCATACCCTCACATTCCAATGGAAAACAGCTTCTTGATGCCCTGGCCTCTCTCTTTGCAATCTGATTTGTGCACAACATTAGCTGAGGGGGGCCCTATCATCGGAGATGAGGCCTCGGCTTTCTCTTTACTAGAGTGGAACTGGACCAGGAAGGGGCTGAGAAGGGGGTAGAACGTCTTCTCTATTCTCAGGTGGGAACATATTAGTTCAGGCCTAGCACTAGGTTCTGCATGTATTACCTTACTTTGTCCTGATAACACAGGCACCTCCCTGCCTTTCTGTCCAGCTGGTGGGAATACTCAATTTTGTGGATGGGGAAATTGCGATTTAGAGAGAGTAAGAAATTTGTCCATTCTCCTGCAGACACAGTCAGATTCAAGCCTGTGCAAAGGCTGTGCCTAAGATAATGTTTCACTGTTTAATCCCACACCATAGCCCATCAGGAAGCAGTGGCAGTAAGGATCCCCCAAAGGAGCTCCAGCAACAGGCTCAGCAGACCCAGTGGTTGAGGTTGAACCCTCTCTGATCTGCAGTCCATAACCATTACCTTTTGGGATTTTCTCACTGCCTCCAATGTCCCGTATGAGCAAAGACTCCTAGGGGCTGTCCGTTAAGCCTTGGTGCCAGATCTCTGCCAAGGCCATGCTTGGTAAGTTAGCCTGTATGGAGCCCTCCAGGGACATATGGCCCTGGCAGGCTCTGAAACTCCTGAGAAACAAAGAAAGAATGCAAGAGCCCAGCCCTAGGCCAGCTGCCATATACAGTGGTGGCTCAGGGAGCACACAACTCAGGTACAGGCTTGGCAGACACAGCCTCAGGTTCCTTCCATCTGACTTTCAAAGCTCCCCTCCATAGGTCCTGGAGGTGGAAGGCAGGCTTAAGGGCCCCCCAGCTGGGACAGGAATCCCTTTTAGGCTGCTCCTGCCAACATCCCATTTTGTCAAATAACTCCAAAACGGGAAATCCCAAGACTGTGGACTTCAAAAGGAAAAAGAAAAGAAGGGGTAGTGTTATGGGGAAAACCACACATAACGGAAGAAAAACCTTATGAAACCCGATCCTCACCCCCTAAATAGTCAGAACCTAGGCATAGTCAGACAAGGGTTGCCATGCTTCTAATTTACCTGCTTGCAGCTCACACAAAAGTTCCCAACAGAAATAATGCATAGAAAGAAGGTAGCCTATTCATCTGGGAGTTCACAGAAGTAGAGTCACTTTGAATTCACCCACACATGTGCCAGTGGGGAGTGCTTCTGAGAACTGCTGAGCACCCCTGTCCCTCAGTCCAGGGAATCCCCACTGCAGCCTCTTTCTCCTGCACACAACAATTCTGGACAGAGACTCAGGCTGTGTCCTCGGTGTGGGACACTCTGTCCTCAACCATTCCTTAGTGAGCTCTTCTGTGGGCACTAGGAGGATTGCACTTAGGCCCAGGGCCAGCCCAGAGAGATGACTGTGTCTTGCCCTGGCCTCTGCTGCAGCCAGTCTTTGCTCCCAGGCTTCTGAGTCAGTGGTTCCCTATAGACTAGTGGTGGCAAACCTATGGCACATGTGCCACAGCAGGCTGAGGAATTTGTGGAAGGACTTGCCAGATGGGCTGAGAAGAACTCAGGACAGTAAAGAGAGTTGAGGAATATGTGTCGTGGGAATTTATTTCCTTGGGCAGATGGGCCCACGGGACAGAAGTCTCTGTCACCATCTCAGCCTCACAGATTGGTTCCTGCAATCCAAGAAGAGAGTCTGATGGAGAAACTACAGTAAAAGGCTAGGAGGGTGTCTCAGGAGGCAGATACTGATGCACAGAGCAAAGATGCCCAGGATGGGAGCCACTGTTATAGTTATAGAACCTCCCAATCAATGAGGGCCTGATGCCTACACTCATACTGCCATTTACAAGCCAGTACACAAGCTAACTGGAAGGGACTTTTGTGCCTGGGGAAAGGCAGTAGAGGGACCTGTCTGGGCTCCTGAGTTCCACCTCACATGGTGAGTTATGGGGTTATTCTTGTGACTGATGTCATGATTAATAATGGTAGGTGCAACATTTGTGTGAGCGTTTATTATGTGCTCTGGATCATCTCTGTCAACACTCAAAAGTACAAAGTAGGTACTATAGATTGAGTATCCCTTATCTAAAATGTCCAGGAACACAGAAGTGTCTGATTTCGTTTTTTTGAATTGTGGACTATTTGCATACACATGAGATATCTTGGGAACGGGACTCACATATAATGATGAAATTCATTTATGTTTCATGTGTACTTATCACACAAGTGGAAAGTAATGTTTTTTTTGTGTGTCTGATTTTGACCGTATCCTGCCACAGGAGGCCAGGTGTAGAATCTTCCACTTGTGGCCTCTTGTTAGTGCTCAAGAAGTCTCAGATTTTGGAGCACATTGGATTTCAGAATTTTGGATTAGGCGTGGATCAATCTGTATTATGCTCCCATTTTCAAGGAGAGAAAGTGGAGGCACAGAGCATTAAAAGTAACTTACCCAGGGTCACCTGATTTATAAGTGACAGACACTGTAGCTCATGCTACAGGGCCAGTTGGTCCCATTCTGCTTGTGGGCACTGCTGTGAAGTACAGCCAGAGAACACTGTGTGCCAGAAAGACCTCCTCCTCCCTTTCTCACCTAGATAAAGCCAGATACACACAGTAGTGTGGGGAATGCAGGCTGTTAGGGGAGCCCAGAAACTAGTCATCTGTAATTGGTGTTACCGTTAGCAA